TTCTTCTTCTTCTTCTTCTTCTTCTTCTTCTTCTTCTTCTTCTTCTTCTTCTTATCATCAGCATCATCATACGTTTGAGCACTGGCACAAAGGATTATGTCGTACTCCCTCTTCTTGTCTCGATCTTCAGGCAACCCTAGATGTCTTCCAGGCTTGACAACTAGACCCCCTACTTCTTCTATGGTCTTTTATTTTTCATATCCTTTCACAGTGTATTCTTTTGTGGCGGAGTATCAATGGAGATTATGACTTTAACAGTTCTCTTTGGTCTAAAATTTTCACCATGTTTAAGCTCTTTTGGCCAATTTCAGTTAAAGTTAGAAAGGCTTTAGTCCGTCATCGATGCAAAGTGGATCATATTGATACAAGATACCCCGCTTCCATCCTGATTTATATGACCAGGTATCCCATCAGAAAGACTGGATTACGGGATGATGCTCGGGAATATATTCTTGTCTTTTGCAGGCAAAGTGAATACTAATGCATAGTATCACGATTGCTCCTCAGACATTGGTAGATACTTGCTCAAAACAACTTTCAACGCAGTCCGATTGTTTTAGAGGCGGTCCGCACCCAATAGGATCGCCCCATGTGGGTGGACATCCTTATTATGAATTTCAGTCAAGAGTCTTCTGCATTGTAGTCCACCTTGACCTTCTCTCTTGACCTTCCACTGATTCCATGATAACTGTACTCATGTGTCAAGCAACTGGATACCTCCAGTCTGTGGGAGACTCTTTGGAAGAAACAAACAAACTACACAACATTAAGCCCAAACTGGGTCTACGAGACGAATTCATTTTTACTCGATTGCGCATCGAACACACGTCCCTGACACACAAGTACCCCATTCAGGGAGATGAGAAGTCATTCTGTGTCGGATGCAACACAAATTTTACCAATAGACACATTTAACAGAATGTCTAGACTTCGGAGAGACCCGAAGGAAATATTTTAAATGCAAACAATTGCAAGATCTGTTTTCCTTCGTTGATCCCAACAGAATCTTTGATTTAAAAAGGCCAATTGGCTTTTATGGAAAATGGTAAATACAGTGATTTTGAATTTAAGTAGATTATTATTTTTATATTGTTATCTGACCTGAAGTTTTCAATATCTGGTCGTTGACCCGAGCCCAGCCGTGCAGTGACCTGTTGTGAATGGAACCAACTAGTGTTTCTCGCGCTCATATTATGACCTTATGTAGTTACGACCGCCATAAAACTCTTGCTAAAACAAACAAAAGCAATCGGACAAATAGGCACTTCCTTGTCCTCATTTCATTGAAAGTTTAATGTGCTCACACCTACCTATTTGCAACTAGACGGTTACCAAGAGTTTTTATTGTATATTCGCAGTTTTCTAAAGTTATGTTAACTTGGGTAAAGAGGAGCACGTCAGCACTAGAACGGCCATTCAGTGCAAGGAAATAGCAAGGTAGACAAAAATAAAAGAGGGAGAGTAAAGACGTAGGGCCTATCTATGCTGTCCTCGATCTAACCATACTTAAAAAAAGCAGTTTTGGGTATCATTTTCCAAGTCTTAAAAAGCAACCTCTGGTGTGATTTGGTCACGGGCGGTAACAGCAAATCTTCACTTATGAAATATCAAAGCAATATAATATTATTCATGATATAAACTAAAGGTTCAAAGTTCTGTATATCAAAATTCAGTATACTGAAGTTCGCTTTCTGATTTTGTGGAAGATCGATTGTAATTCACGAAGCGCTCCTTTCAAACAAACGAAAATAACTGGTACAAGTGGCGCAAGAATCTTTACATTCAAGAAAGAAGATAAAACAAAACTTGAATCATGACAAAATGACTTCATGAAAAGAATAAATAACATTTCTCAAGAAACAAACATTATCTTACGCTATCATACTTTTATTTTTCGTCATGTCTGCTGCAAAAATGTTACACGTTGTTAATAAAGTGATAAAGATAAACATGTATGTAGCAAAATAACATGTCCCAGCAAACACAATCGTAGATCGAGTCATTGTCCATTGTGAAGGCAGCGTGAGAAGACAAGGCTGGCAAAGTGTAATAAATCATACATTAAAAAGTCAAATGTCCATTGCAATAGAGACTGAACTAAAATATTTACAAGTGCTTTTCGGTTAGTACCGGTGTTGCGGGTGTAAATCTTTCATACCATCATTGACATGATTTATACATTAATATATTATTTTCGGGGAGATCTTTCGCAGATTTATCAGTGCTTTTTTCAACCACATGAAATGTATCGTTCTATCCCTGGCAAATGCTTATTTCCTCACGTTCATTTTTTCTCCAACAAGCGATCTTATATTAAATCCTTCCAACATCTACATCTCTTCCGACCCTTTGTTTAACGCCCCCCCCCTCCCTCCCGAAAAAAAATAGTATAAAACGAATTATACAATGAATTAAAATCCCTTTTCTTTCATCACTCCCCACCCCCAAGGAAAAAAACCCTACAGCAAAAATAAAATCCCCTCCCATCCAGAGAAAAAAGTTTGACAATCTTGAGAGTAATGTTGAACGTCTACAAGAGCGTGCAAAACGTGCTGAAAAAACATGTCAATATTCAGATCAAATGTAAGAGTAAAAAAGAGTGTATAGTGCGGTCAAAAATTTCGTGGTGCAAATTCTTGTCAATTATTTCCTCGACGACTCAATATGACGTCTCCTGATTTTAAAGCTTCACTAATCAATATTTTTGTAAAAACTTGCTAGCTGTACTCTAGAATATTTTTATTTATGTATATAAAATAAAAATCCCAGTGGGTGGTTTCTTCAGATTTTAAAAGGTTTACAGCCGGGACAATGTCGCTTTTAAAAGCAAGTCTGATATCATTTTTTTAAAATAGCGACTTAATGCTTATTGAACGCATGTTTTGAGAGCATTTAACGCAAAAAAGTGTTCACAATAAAATTAATTTCTTGTAATAACTTTTGCCATTAACAGCGTCATTGATAAGCTGTGACGTAGGCCATATGCGCATGCAAAATGTATGTGAGAAGCGGGAAGTGCTGAGAACGATCCCATTTTCCGTGAATCGAAGATTTTTAGTATTTTAAGAATATTCATAGAGAAAAGGTTTTTTTCTTAATCTAGCATCGGTTATGCGGAAAAATAATATGATTTGGGGCAGAAAAATTTATACCAACTGCTGTGTAAAGTGTGGGTGACATTGATTCACCTGTTCAAGAGATATTTGAGGATAAGTTGCGCTACGAGTTTTTGACCGCACTAGAATCTATAATAATATAAGTCATGAAGGCAATCTAATCTTCCTCCTCTTATCTTGTCCCGGAGCCGATTAAAAATGGATAAAGGTTTTCGATATTAAGGCTTCATGGTGTACAGGTAACTTTATGATATAAAAAAGATGTAACTAAGTTGATCCCCTCAATGACATCACAAGGGTGATTTATCATTCAAAAGCTATTCTGATGGTGTGATCGATTCATGTTATCCAAGCCTAATTATCTTGAATAAAGTAAACAGCATGGCAGAAATATTTGAATCATCGGACCCTAGGCAATGAACAGCAAAGAAGAAAATGTAATCAAACTGAAAAAAAAAATAGATAGCATTTGTATAGCGCAGATTCCCGCTCAACAGCAAGCTCTATGCGCTTTACAATTACTCCAGCAGGCCTGACGATAGCATTCTGAAACAATCTCAACTTCCTGGGAGGCATGCAGTCCTAACAATGAAACAGTTTTGCTCTTCGGTTTTATCTTTTCTTCATTAACAGAAGTTAGATCAACAACAACAACAACAACAACAACAACAACAACAACAACAACAACAACAACAACAACAACAACAACAACAACAACAACAACAACAACACCTTTGAAAAAAACATAGGCCAAACAGGAAATGACGTGAACGTTTGTCCCACACTTCGATAGCTCTGCCAATCTTCCACTGTTTTCAGGTGGAAGGTGAAACATGTTCAGATTAAGTCAAAGTGATGGGTTTAAAAATATATTTTTAGTCTTACCGTCAATGCCTGATCAAATACTTTGAATAATAACTGTGATAATGTTAATACTGCTGTCCACAACAATATTATAGATTTATGGAATGATTTTTAAAATATTGTTCTGTCATTGATAAATTAAATGCCAACGACGACAGCAATGAAATGATGTTTCAGCTATGAAAACAAATTTGATGATGATGATGATGATGATGATGATGATGATGATGATGATGATGATGATGGTGGTGATGATGATGATGATGATGATGATGATGATGATGATGATGATGATGATGATGATGATGATGATGAGGATGAAAAT